CACATGCATGAGGCCCTGGGTTTGATTCCTCAGCACCACATAAGCAGAAAAAGCCGGAAGTGGCACGGTGGCTCTAGTGGTAGATCACTAGCCTTGAGCTGAAGAGCTGAGGTACAGCACCCAGGCCCAGAGTTCAGGCCCCATGATCGACAAAAATACGGACAGTTTGAGTTTGTGGTGCTTAAATTTTTTGTACTATAGTACAGTGCAGCTTAGTAAGATTGGACATGAGCGGAAGGTTAGGCCTTTCTCTGAAACAGGAGCTGGTTGAGCTGGGGAAGCAGAGTCTGCAGTTGCAGATGCATCCTAAAGCAAGTCCACTCTCACTGGGAGCTGCTCTGGGACTCAAGTTGGAATTTTATTTCTCCTATATTGTGCCTTTGTGCTCCTTGCAAAATCTTTAGGCATTCCTCAGAGATCCCTGTTCCCTAGTGTGAAGTCAACCTGAGGGCATATATATAAATTACTTTTTTGAGCTAAGTTCCCCTGTACCCCTGAGGACTTTGCAAGGATTGGCTTGTGCTGGTGAGATGGGAACTCCTGCGGGGCTTTGAGCAGGGGCTGACCTGAGCTGACTTGCATTCTAAAAGGTCACAGGATCTGCTTGCTGTATTAGAATTAGACAGTTGGGTAGCAAAGGTGGCAGCAAGGAGGTGACCCAGCAGCTACTACAGTGATCTAGGAGCAAGATGACAGGAACACAGGTGTCAGTGTGGGAAAGTAGATGCAGGGGCATTTTTGCATATGGTATTTGAACTCAGGACCTTATATTTACTAGGCATGTGCTCCATTACTTGAGCCACGCCTCCAACAGGTAGACTGGATAAAGGATGTGCTGGGGTGGATTAAGGAAATAAGAGAATGCATTGAGGTTTTTGTCATAAGGAAGTGGTTCTTTGTGTTTGTTTTCCTTTTTTGAGAACAACTCACACTATGTTGCCCATCTGGCATGACATTCCTGACTCAACCTGCTGAGTGGTCTGGACTTCCAGCACCCACCACTGTGCCTCCTCAGGACCTGAGCAAGTGGAAGGATAGAGGTGCTGTTTAAGGAGAATAAACCACAGTGACTGTGACATCACACACTGAATTGGGAAGATGAGGTGACTGTGACCTGTGTTATCTCATTTAATCTTGACAAGACCCCTGTAAATAGTCATTACTAATCCTATTTTTTTTTTCCCTGAAGGAAACAGCAGTTCTGAATGATGAAGAAAATTGCCCAAGGCCACAAAAGTAGTTAATGACAGAGCTGAGATCCATCCAAGGTCCTGATAACTGCAGAGCCTCTGAAAGTGGCCTTCCCTGTGACCAGCATAGTATCCAGTTCAAATACACACTCCACTGCCTACTCATAGACATTCCCGAAAGTGATGATTTATGGCTGTGCCAAGTACCCTATGGAGAGAGGATGTGTTAGCCAGGGGAGGAGGGAAACGGGACTGACCCAGATCCCCCCCTCTTGTTTTTCCCTGTAGGCATCTAGCAGCTAGAAAAGGTAGTAACTTAATAGGCCCAGCAGAGAAGAGAATTTGGACTGAGAAGTTTAAGTGGCAACCCCTCACCAATAATGAAAGATTAGGAGTGGGGAAGCTGTATAAAAATAGCACTTAATAGTTAACTGGAAAACAATATATTTTTGCAACCATTGGCTCCATGAGAAAATAATTGGGTCCCAAGGTGGGAATAACTCGTTTTCATGAATGATTATATTGATCATTGGAGGAAAGTAGATATGTCCCTTTTGGAAAGCAATTCAAAGGAGAAATGGCTGGCTAGCCAGGCCTGTCCAGTGTGACATCCTGGGAGCTACAGAGGAGGAAGCAAGCTGCAAGCTAATGAGCAGCCAGGTCCTGGCCTGGTGCAGCGGGTTGGGGGTTGTTGATTGGGAGATGTGAAGCAATAGAACTTGTTTCCCACTTATGTCCTTAGCTCTCCCAAGGGAAGAAAGAGAACAAGAATATGAACCCCCTGTTCCAATTAACCCATTGAGTGCTTTGTTTCCTTTCCTCCCCAAACAGTGATATGTGATATACTAACTTTCTAATGGCCAGAAGGGCACACTGGGAGCCTATAGTCCTGCTCTGGACTGGTATCTAGGCTGGAACTTGGACTCATTTGGTCATTCACTCTATAAGGAGCTACTAAACTGCCATTAACTCTAAGTTCTAGTAGGGAACATGGGGTTGAGGGCCTGGAGTGCCTGTACTATTCTAAGCACTCTATGTGTACCAGCCCATAACAACTCTTCACAGCAACTCAGAGGAAGTCGATGACATCAGCTCCATTTTTTTCACATGAAGAAGATGGATCAAAGAAAGCTGTGTGCTAGTGGCTTATGCCTATGATCTAGCTGTTCAGGACCTGAAATCTGAGGATTTCCGTTCAAAGCCAGCCTGGTCAGGAAAGTCCGTGAGATTTTTTTTTTTTTTTTTTTGTCCATGAGATTCTTATCTCCAGTTGACCACCAAAAAACTAGAAGTGCTGTGGCTCAAAGTGGTAGAGTGCTAGCCTTGAAAGACAAAGCTCAAGGATGGCTCCCAGGCCTTGAGTTGAAGCCACATAACCAACCAAAAAAAAAAAAAA